CTCCTCCTCCTCCTCCTCCTCCTCCTCCTCCTCCTCCTCCTCCTCCTTCTTTCTTCTTTCTTCTTGTTTGTGACCCAATATGGGTGGGCTGTTGGCTAACAGATTTTGATGATGGGTGGTCCAAATGAGGTCCTGAGACCAGTACCCAGTGACCTGCCATGGTTTCTTCTGGTCAGGTTTAAAGTCTGTCATGTCCACACAGAACCCCACCTGCTGGGGGCTGCAGATCACAGCGCTGCTGCAGTTGTATTCTGGCTCTGTAATCATTTATCGCTGTTTTAGCCTGGTTCCCTCCTCCCCTTTTTCTTGTCCCTTTATGAAAATGCATTGTGCTTTTAATGTTCTCCTTGGGTCTCCAATGTCCCTGGACCCTGCAGGATATACGGTATGTCCTGTCATCAACACCAGGTCTGTTCCCTTTACTTTATGCATTGTTTCCTGGTTCAAAAGCTAATTACCAAGTAGTTTAAAGAAGCCCTTGGTCACTTAGATCTTTCATCAGAAAATATAAGCTTGGGAAAGGAACGGTAATAAAGGGCCATTAGCACCCCTTTGTTTGATGTTGTTTTTCCAGTCAGTAGAACAAGATTGATGAAATGTTATGTTTGGCCAAAATTTGAGTTTTCATTTGGAATTCAGTGTTGAGAGAATGGGCTGTCAGAATCAATAAGTTTCCTTTCGCTTGGGATATGGGCATGTGGTAGTAATTAGCAATATAAGGTCTTTACTTGAGCAACGAAGCATGGATTCTGGCAGCAAACATAATGAGAAACTACAGTTGTTCTATTTCGAACGTCAAAAAGTTTCCAGATAAAATTAAATGCATTTGTGAAAGGAAAGGGCTTAACTTTGTTGAGAGCTGGAGTTTAGACTCTTAAAATAGCAGGCAGCCCTTTGAGTCTTGGTGCACGCAGAAATGCATGTGCTGTCCCCATCCACACATGTACACATGCCACCCCCAGGGTTGAGTGCAGCAGTGCCTAGAAAATAGCTTAAATGTGTATATAGTCAAGAGTTCTCTCGGTATGTGCATATTTTATTCAGAAGTAACCACTCATAACAACACATTAACTTGTCAGACAACTGAAGGTAACTTATGAGCCTAAACTACAGAGACACAAAAGTCTGAAATTCAAAGATTATTCAGAATAAAAATATAAGTGTCTTTATTTGAGTAATTCTATTAAGTAAAAACATTATTTATTTAAGTAATAATTAAGTAAGATGGAGGAACTTAGGGCTTGAGGATAAAATAGCCACATGAGGGATATTGTAGGATACAGAGGTTTCCTTGGCGCTTCCTTGTGAATTTTAATCAATGTGTCTGGCAGAACTTCTTCCCCATCCACATGGAATCGAGGGCCTGGCAAGGCCTTTTCCAGAGTCACCTCAGTCACCCCTCCCAGTACTAGGTACGGATACCTATAACTGTGCCAGCTGTCATGTAGCTTACTCAGGAGTCTTAAGAGTAGAGACTCGAGTGTTAACCCCTGAAGGGTTCAAGCAGTGACCAAGAAAGTTATCTAAGTTGGAAATCTTGGGGACAATTAGCTTCTTGGATCGAGACTCTAAATCTTACTGAGTATAGTGGCGCCCCTACAGCCTCGCCTGTCTCCACAGGGCCTTTGCCTCAGCCTCCTTCCCTTCATGTACAATGAGAGGAGCTCAGAGGCGATGGAGGCATGGGGGACCCTGAGACTCCCATGGCCTTGGGGGCCTTGGTTTACTGTCTGTTTCCTCCCACAGCCCCTTGCAGTTCCCCCCAGAGGTTTCCTCTCTGAGTGTAATTCATTCTACTCCTGGTTAGTTTATGAGAACTGACAAGATCATGGTCCAAGGTCATATGGCCAAGGGCCATGGAAAATAATTGACCACAGAGAGGAATCCATCAGCTGTAACCCCTGGATAGAGGCAGCACAGCTGGGGAGTCATCTAAGCCTTGTATTTCCCATGACGTGGCTTTAGTGGCCCCAAATCGAGGCAGTCCTGGCCCAAGTGTTTGGGAGAGAGAGGACAAGACAGGCTTAGAGGGCTCCACAGATTTTTGGTAGCCAAACGTAGAGAGAACATGTGGAGAGAAAAGATAAGGGGTAAACAAAAGGAGAGCAGGAAACCAAGGATTAGCATGGAAGAAAAATCTCTGTGGTGACATCCCCATTCTAGAGTGGGGCATGGTTATTGCAGTCAAACCCACATCTTGCTCCAGTGCAAGAAGGCCATGTCTAGAGTGCCAGTACTATGTGTTTCAATTGGGCAAATTTTGGCATCAGTAAGTTGGACCGTCTTGAGGTCTTGTTTGTTGGACCGTCTTAAGGTCTTGTTACCGACCATTCAAGTGTACCTGGGACCGTATTTTCTATCCTCATCTGAACCCAATGCTCCAAGGATGCAGAGAATAACTGTATCTCCTTCTCAGTCTCCAACTCGCCTGGTCACTGCTCTCTGTCCAGGAGGCTCAGAGCTGGATGCGTCTCCTTCTGGTTTCTTATGATCGGGTCCTAGTTTAGCTATGTCCAGGCTCTTCTTTCTCGGGGGCTTTCCCCTTCCTGAGACCCTGCTCTGTGCTTCCTTCTGCCTATGCACTATTTGGATCAACACGGGCTCCCTCTCTACCTTCTCCCTACCTCCAGATTTTACCCACAATGGTTCCAAGTCATACTTTAATGAACCGGGCACTGAAAAGTTCAGAATATGGTTCTTCATTTAAAAAGATTCATTTAGTTTACCCCCTCTGTGGTCTACCATTGCCCAAAAGAGAATCACCACGTGTCATACCTTTGTGTTTGTTTGTTTCAGATGTGTTTATCTATCTGAGCCTGGCATCCTGGACAGATACATTCCAGCACACCTATTAAACCCTCCAGCGGTACCACCGCCCTGTCGTTCTCTCTTGAGCTTCATGCTATCTCGCCACCTTAATGGTTGGATAGTTCAGCC